AAATTGCTCAAGTCATTCCAGAGTTATGCTGGAATATACACATACACAGCCATTTATATATATAGAGAGAGATCCATTTCTTTATACCAGCTGGCTGGAGAATTCTGGGAGTTGAAGTCCACAAGTCTTAAAGTTGCCAAGTTTGGGAACCACTGCTTTATACCAATTGGTATGCAATCAGTGGCCTTCTTTGGAAAAAACATACCTTGCTTAATGATATCCATCTGGGCTATTGTAATAGCATTGTAAGCCACCCAGAGTCACGTTTGGTGAAATGGGCAGCATATACGTTTAACACATAAATAAGCAACTAACTAAATAAATCTCTTATGAACCAGCTTCTGAAGATGCCAAGGAAAATAGTCTTTCAGGCCTAAGCCAACATTTAGGAAAGTTCTGAAAATTTAATTAATTAATCTTCATTTATTCTTGTACAGCGTTTTCAAGGAGAAATGTACTGTCATTCTCTTTATGTCTGCTCTGATATTTCTTTTGCATAAGTAAGAAGTTTTAACTGTTAGGATCTCTAGATATTATCAGCCTTGACTATTTTATTGTTATAAGATTCTTACAGTCACCTTCTATTGTTTGCACAAGCAGGGTAGAAAGAATATTGATGTTTTTGAACTTTGACGCTGGAGAAGATTCTTGAGAATACTATGGATAACTAAGAAAGCAAACAACACAATCATTTATCAAAGCAATCAGAGTTCTCACTTGAACCAAGAATGATTGGATTAAAATTATCCTAATAATTTTTGCAAAGATATAGATCTCAAGATTCTGGGAAAAAGTGGAAGAAAAGAGAAGAAATTATTCTTTTGGGGAAACTCTACCAACCAAAGTGTCTATGGAGATTCTCAGTCATCTGGGTCATGTTTGTCCCAAAGGTGCTTTTTCAAAAGGCAACTAAACTTTCTTGTTTTCTTTGTAGATAATTTCGCTTCTTATCCAAGAAGCTTCTTCAACTCTGACTGGATGGTGGGGAATGGAAGGATTTATATTCCTTGCAGAGAGCTTGTTATTTGCATCCTTTTAGGGAGTCATGGAGGCCACTTGGAGGTTTATCTGTGTCCCCCCTGAGTAGTGCAAATCTGTCTGTCTGAGTCTGTGTGCATCTTAAACTGAAGAGCAAATGGTTCCTGTAATCTTCAAAGGAAAAAAAGAAAGTCGAGTTGCCTCTTGAAAAAGCACCTTTGAAAACAATTGTGATCTGGATGACTGAGAGTCTCCATAGATATTTAGCTATGCCCTTTGGGGTGAACACCCTTCGAATGGTGCATGAGTCTGAACGGATTTCTAATGGCAGATAACAATACTTTTGTAAGACAATATTGTTTTAAGGCATTTTAAGAGGGCTTATTAATCCCTCTTAAAGTTAAAGTTAGCTCACCAATATTTTAATTATGCTATGATCCAGGTCGCCTAGGCAGAGGCAGGCATTCATAAAGTCCTTTATTGTCCTATTGGCTGCCACAACAAATTATCCTACAAGGTTCCCACACTTCCCTCAAGGCAGCCACCCTCAGTCCCACAAACAAAAGCTAGACAAAACCAATTTGTAAAGGCAGCCAAAAATTCCAAAGAGAAGGGGCAAGATCCAGAGTCAAGGTCCAAAGGGCGATGCAATTCCAAAGGCCAGATACATCCATGAGGCCAAAGACAAGTCCATAATGTCCACAAGGCAAAAGGCAAGGCACGGGCAGAAACAAGAGTCAAGGTTGAGTTTTCCAAAGCCAGGGGAGCGTAAGCCAAATCAAACAAGAGATAAACTCCCCTGGCTTCTCCTTAAGTCAACTTATGGCAGGTGTTCCTGGTGAAGAGGGGCAGGATGAACTTCCCCCGAGCAGTCAAGCAGCCTTCCTTTGATCTTGCCTCTGCTCTACTCTCCGTGCCTTGGATCAAGAGGAAGCGGGAGCTGTTCCTCATCAGAGGGGAACTGCTGCCTGTTAGAACCACTACCTGTCCAAAGCCAATCCTCCATATCTGTGAGGACAGGCAGCTGTCTATCCAGTTGATCATCTCCCCCAATGCCTGAGGAGACTGGGACAGCATGTTCCTCTGTCTCTCGCCTATCCAAACATTCCAAGGGAGATGTCTCATCCCCATCGGACGGTCCCAGCACCAACTACTCCACCTCCTCCTCTGAAATGGGATCTGATGGTGCCATGACATAATTAAATAATAAAATTAGGGGCCATATGCCCAAATGCAGCATGTATATGTGTGTGTGAATGCACACAGACATATTTGGCTATGCAGAAGAATTTCTGTACATCAAATCACTTTGTGGACTAAGCGAGCATATAGAACACTTTATAGTCTAGGAAAATGGGAGTAAATAAAATTGCACTTCAAATCATAACTCAACTCACAGCTCTGTTCATCTGTACTATATTTGAATATGCATCTTCACTTATAGGGTTAGGGTTATCCTATTTAAGAGTTACATTAGAACAAATACAACAGCAAACATGCATTTCATGGAACTAGTAAGTCAGAGTTATAAATATCTTCTTATTAATCATATATCTTCCCAGGGAGGTTTAACATTATCTCCTTATGAAGAGAATTCTGTGTTTTCACTTGTTAGGAAAAGAGACCTATGAACTGAGCAGAACTTTTGATCACTGCATAAACATATCCATGTAGTATTCTTAATAGTAATAAGCATATAATTTGTCACTGTCCTCTTCCAGGATGTTTTCTGATGTGCTAGTCTAGCCAACAAATCTAACATTTCCTGTTGCTCACACAGGGGTGAGTATAGAAATAAACCAAGTGTGATTAATTTCTATCCTTATGTTCAATGGGATACCTAAATTTACTGATATATAAGGGAGAATATGATTAGAAGTATGGTTTCTTAAGGACAGAGAAATCATTCCCAACTGTATAAATTGAATCATCAGTAACTGATTGAAAATTATAAGTGCTTTGCCAACAGTCCTGAACTGTGATTAAATATCTAAATGCAATTCATTCTGTGGAGAAATGGTGTTGGAAAATCAGCGTCTAACTGCAAAGACATAATCTAACAATTTTGCAGGAGTGCAGAAGACAGTTGTTTCATATTTTTCAACCCAAGCAGCATATTCTTGTTTTTATGATTCTTTGCAATATTCAGGAGTCACTGTCTACTGAAATGAATATGGTATAATCCTATACTCTAATGTAAGAAGCTCATCATCATGTCAGAGCAAACACAAGAACCTGGCAATTATATTCCATTTAAAAAGTTCTAACTCATTAACACCAGCAAGTTGCATTGGGCAAAATGTTATGCTCCAATACAAAGGTCAATTATTATTCTCTTTGCTTTAGCGGATAGTAATTATCATTTGGGGGTGGGGGGGGAGAGACAATCACCATTGAACATAGCTGGGAGACAACTGATTTTAAATAATCCAAGATCAGAAATTTTCTGGTTTGAAGCTGGGTATCCTTGATAGTTCAAAAGCATTTAACTATCAATCCTTCCTGTGGCTTTTCTGCATCTTTGAATGCACCTTTTGATGTTTTCTCAAGAGTCTTGGGAAAGGAGAAGTGTTATATCAACCTACTTCTCTTGCATATAAAGATTTATTAGGTGTGAAGTGATGAATTACCATATGTTGGAACATGACAGTATCTCCGTATAACACACTTTAAAGGGAAAAGTAATTTCTTTTATTGCATATTTTTGAGATGAGCTCAGGTCAGCTAGGTGCTGCCACTTAGCTATTTGGAGATGTAAAAAAGAAGATTTAGTAAGAAAAAAACAGATGTGGGAAAAATACAGATTTCTGCAGCTGTTGGAAAATACTTTCCATTTATAAATTTTGCTATAATTTTATCTGGAAAGTGCTTGATAAAGTCAACCTTAATTATAAATTACAGTCTGGGTCCTACATAAAAGAAATCCATTTTCCATTTAAAACCACCATTCACCCATCTTATGAATGGGGGAATTCAGATCATCTTTTTTAATTTTACAAAATACAATATGGTCTTTAAAGTCCTCATAAATCAAACTTAACTTGAAAGAAATTCTACCTTTACTACCTTTAAAAACCTCCTCCGCCTCCTGGAGGCCCTCCAGAGGCTTCAGGGACCTTCGGGAGGCTTCCCTGAAGCCTCCGAAGGGCATAAAATGCCCCTACGAGCAAACTGGAAGTTCCTGTTTGTTCATAGGGCCGGTTTAAGCCCTCTGAAGGCTTCAGGGAAGCCTCCTGAAGGTCTCTGAAGCCTCCGGAGGGCTTAAACTGACACTATGAGCAAACTGTAAGTCCGTTCCCGAACTTCCGGTTTGCCCATAGGGCCAGTTTTTTGCACTCCGGAGGCTTCAGGGAAGCTCCTGAAGCCTCCGGAGGGCGGGGGGAGGTTCTTTTCACCCTCCCCAGGGTCCTATAAAGCCTCTGGAGCCTGGGGAGAGTGAAACATGCCGTAAAAAAAGGCTGAACGATGCTGGCCAGCTGACAGGGCAACACCTTGCGTGCCCTGACAAATGGCTCCATGTGCCACCTGTGGCACGTGTGCCATAGGTTCGCCATCCCAGATATAGCATATAAATAGTCTTTCAGATTTTTCTTAAAATGATATTTTTTGCTACTAATGTTTTTGACCAACTAATTATTACAAAATAATAAAACAAGTCATATTCTCTGAATTACAGAACACAAAATAATGAATCACGGGACAAATTTCAAACTAAAATTTAAATTTAAACTTTGACCACAGTACACTATTTATTAATAGCCCAGTGCAGTACTGATAAACAGTAATGAAAAATAATTAAAATACAAATCTGAAATATACTATATATGTCATATTTTTGAACCAATGAAAAGTAATTACCTCTCTTAATTCTCGCTTAACAAGATTTTGAACACAATTTCTCAGCTATATGATTTTTTTCAAAAAATGAATTATGTACGGTAACTAATATACAGTTCATACTATGATAATATTATTTCAACTTTTCTGAAGCTATATATTAAGTTACAAGTCATCCTTACCAGAGTTTTTATGAAAGAATGAAAGGGCAGCAACTAAGAAGTACAAAGACTAAGTTTTGGACATCTCCACTCCGCATATAGAATCCTTACAAAATCTACAGAAAGAAAATGGAATAATGTGTTATATCTCTGAAGGTGGTTTTTTTGCACAGTAAAGTTTTTTTCCAGTTTAAAATCTTTCATATCTCTGGGGAGGATATAAACTGGGGAAAAAAGACATTATATGCAATGTGTATCTCTTTACAAATCATTCAGAAAACCTGCTTTGTAATGCACAAATATGCATTCCAAGCACTCTTTTTGAATTAATAACATAGAACTGCCCTTCATTCTCATATGGAAGCTGTTCCTGGTTGTCTCCACATAGAAGGTGGATGTGCCCAATCAAATAAATCAATGTTTCAAAAGACTCATATCTCCAGAGCACGCCTAACAAATTGCAGTTATTCATGCGTCTGACTTGAATGTGGATCCCTCTAAAAGAAGGTAATTTACACATGTTCCATGTTCCAAACCGTGGCTTTGTCCAATTATTGCCATAATCTTCTTAATAGCTGGCATTTTGCCATGTGAGATTTCTGAAAAATCAGGGTGACTGACTTCAAGATCTTGATAACCCAATTTCTTCAATGTGGTATTTCTTGTTTCATTTCACAAATTGCACTTAATTTCCTGGCAAATCATATGTATGGAACTACCTTGACGCAAACTAATACATACAGTAATATAATATGCATTTTGGAAGACATATATCCCAAAAGGCATAATACTTGAACAAGTATACCTCTCCTTGCTAAGACTATTTATATTTTTCATAAGAGGAGGTATCAGATAGTTGAGATTTGCTCTTATATGCTTTGGGCATTCAATGAAGCACTGCTATATAGACTAAATATTGTTGTATAAACTATAACCAATGCTTCCAATTACAAGAAAAAGAGACACAGATTTCCTGATCACCTCTAATGGCCACCCTTCGTAAATCAATCAGAGAAGAAAGCTAAATAATATTTTGTAGGCGAAGCAGTCTCTGCTTACTGTTGGAATTATTCCAGCTAGTTTGGATTTCTTCCAATCTATTCATATTCAACAACTTGAATCCTGCATCATAACTGAAGCTTCAGTGCTTTGAAACTGCCTCTGAATGCTTAGTTCATGAAATATAAAGGTGAGTATCATCCACATGCATACAAAGCCCAGCTCCAAAGCTCTGAATTATGTCTACTTATGTTGACATTAAGTTGAATTTATAGTAAAAGTGAGGTTCATATAAAATGTTTTCAGTCCCCCGTTGGCTAACTTAAAAATCCCCAATAATGAGCTGCAGAGAAAAACTGCATGAACAATTCAGTCGTACACATATCTGGTCTTCTAAAGTGTTATTCAAAGTTACTGAGGATTTGAAAAGCATTGAAAATGAATAGTTTCCTTTTCAACTTGTGTATAATGCCACTATAACTGAGAACAACCTTGGCCAAACTCAATATATATTTTAAGACTACCTGAAGAGGAAAGTGTCACTTAGATGTGGTTTCTTTGCTACATTGTGAATTAGACTTGCCAAGAAATGCACCTTTGAGACAGGTCCAGCACTGCTAAATAATCCATTTTCTTAAGAATGGGCAGATGACTGCATTTAAGCAATATGCTCTACTTGGATTTAAAGAATTCACTCATTCTCTCTAGAAAGATACTCCTACACACAATTCTTGAATCTGACAAAATGGACTTCGGGCAAAACCATCCCCCCCACTTGCTTATGAGCTTTTTCCTTATTTCAAATTTATGCATTCTGACATTAGACAATAGTAGAAATTCAGAACTTATTTTTTTAAAAGGCTGAAAAGGCTGAAGGAACAATATTATTCAGGGAGTTAATAATACCTTCTGAATGCTATTATGATACCATTCATAGCAGCATAACTCTGGAACAAAACTCTAAGCTCTAATGAATTGTTTACAGTTGCAATAGTGAATATTAGACATCTTTTTTGGTCCTTTGAAGTCTTAATTAGAACGGAAATGAACAATTCTTTATTCAGAATCAATCAGTCAAATGAGAAAGAAGATAATTTCTTGTTTGCACCAAGTATTTCTAAGTTGAATTAAAGTGCAGTGAGAGGCCAACTGCTCACTCTACTCTTCTACTCCTAATATTAATTTCCACACTTTTGAGACATACATATACAAATAATATTTTAAGCAATAATTAACAAGCAGTTTTAGTGGCTTTCGGGAGACTGATGTCCTGACTAGCACTCCCAGAATAACTAAGTACCATTTTCCCCCTCAAGCCATAGGGTCATATTTTTTAGTAAAGAAGTTTAATTTCCTTAAGCAATAAAGAGTCTTGTGCACTTTAAAGCCTATTATTATCTTATAATATTTCATGAAAAACTATATACCATAATATGGAACATAAAATGTAGTATGGTTGTACTGGCTAGGAGCTATACTCCCCCAATGTTGTGACCATTTTCTGGTTTTGCTCTTTATTTTATATTTGATGTTTGAATCAGAGACTCTGAAATTCTAACGTCTCTAGTCCTAGGGTATAATGGCAAGTAAGAATGGCATGCATTCCTCTGATTTCTTGCCTTTCTTTAATATACCCTTTAAATCTTCATGGGAATATGAACAAGAGCTAATTGATTTTAATGGGCCACACATAAAAACAGTTCAGCCCCTCTGTTACATTGGGGGGGGGCACTTCTTTAGAGAAAAACTAATATGTTTGTAGATAACATGGCCAGGCCAGAGGAAGGGGAGGGAGCGTTCTCCCACATTGTTAGAACACAAAATTATCTCTGAGACCAAGTTCTGGAAAATTCAGAAGCGGCACATTAAAGTACCTTTCCTCCCAGTGCATAATAAAGTTGGGAAATTTGTTTTAGAAATAAAAGTCAATTTTGAATGAGACACATCCATGGATAAACAGCCTATATAACTTGAGGAAAAAATGTAAGTATAGAGATCAATATAATCAAGAAATAGGAGCTTTAATATACTCGAACATGAAGAGTTTCCTTTATTGTTCTTCACCTGTAGACAGAATCTTGCAAACTACATATATATTCTGGGAAAAAGTAGGGAGAAGCTGTTTTAACCCTCTTTCTGCCAGCCAGGTTTTCTAAGCTACACTGCCTCTTTGCCTTCTGGAAAGTAGCCCCTCACCTCCAGACCACATTCCAAACATCTCTTCAGGTATTTACTTGTCTGTTCCCTCCTCCCCCAGCAACTTCTCCTGGGATTCTTGCACTTCGCTTATGTGTGTAACTCATAAGCAAGCAGCAAGATATTGAACTTATCATATGCATGGTCCATAGACAGAGTATTTAAGTTTTCATAGCAACAATGCTCTCTTGATAGAAACAACAAATATAGCATCTGGATTGCATATCATGACATTTAGAATCTAGGTATTTATAATTCCAGGTTGTTTTCTTCGTTCCCTTGATTTGGCATCAAAAATTTTAAGCTTGACTTTGAACTGCTTGCCTTGGAAATTCATACTTCGTTCAGCTAGGTCTCTGCTATGATTTGAAAAAAACAACCTTTCTTTTAACATTCTATGCTTGGGGGGAGGGAGAGGAGGAAGAAATATGAAAAGGCCAGCAGAGCTGGGGCCATCCTAATCTCTGGAGGGAGAATTTTCCAGATGGCAGGAACTATGGTTAAAAAAAAAGGCATGTGTCCTACTAACTGCATGGATACATCGGAATGAATTGGACAGATAAAAATAGCAGGTAAGCTCAGGTAAACCCTTCTCAAGTGATGAAGGGCTTTAAAGATGATAACTAGCACTCTAAATTGCACCTGGAAGCGAACTTGCAATAGGGATATTACAGGTGTCAAATATCAACCTCATTTACTATCATGCAACTGTATTTTGTACCAGCTGAAGCTTCTGAATGCTCTTCAAGGAAAACCCCATGTAGAATGCATTGCAGTAACACAGAAAAGAGGTCATGAAGGTATGATGATCTTCCTGTGAACTTCTTAGCTGCAATCAATTGGCCACCGTGGGACACAGAATGTTGGACTTACTGTATTTGTATTTTTATCAAGCAGCGCTTTTCTTAAGTTCTTATATAACATCCATTGAGAACATTAATCCCAACCAACTTCAGCAGTGCCTTCAGCATGAACTTTCCCATGGATTCTTTATTTAATATGCAAAATTAAGCTTTCACAGCAATATATCAAGGCAATTTTAACTCATGCAAATTCACTTTCTTCCCTCAGCCTCTGGAGTCTGTGGACAGCAAAAAACGGAGCCCAACAGGCCTATCGGAAGTTTGGAAACAATCCATTTCCAGCTTCCGGAGGGCCACCGGGGGGCTGTTTTTGCTCTCCCCAGGCTTCAGGAACGGCTCCAGAACCTGGGAGGGCAAAA